ATGATTTTATGTGTGTATATCTGTTCAAAGCTGTGGTTTTTTGTCATGACCTGACTAGTTTTTTAAATTCTGCATAAAATTAGCTACAATTGTCACTACTGAAACATTTGGTAAAGTTTCAGAGGTATTATTATTGTTTTGGTAGTGACAAAATGGAATGCTCAGTCATTTGTTTTAATACATAATTAACATATCACTCAAAGCAAGAGGATTTTAGTCTAAAATCCAAATCAGTTAACTTTGACTTTGAACCAATTCTGTAGAATGATTTATGATAATTGTTGGTCCGCCTTGTAGATGTTAGAGACTGTAACTTATTTTGTTTATACACAATTTGTGTCAGTCATCCTTTAGTCTTTCATCAGTGGTCAGTTTCTGGCCAGAGACCTGCTTGGCTGGATAATTTTGGGTGGTAAACCACTCTGAACATAGCAGGGACACTGTAAAAACCAGAAACACCGCTGTGTTTGATCATTGTCTCATGAGGCCAAGCATGTATTCTGTGTGTTGCTGTCTGATTTCTGATCATATGTCATTTCAGCAAAGCTGCACATTTTTGAGAAAAATGTAATGTAAACAGCAGTTTAGTATCTTAGTCGGTCAGATTTGACTTTGGGGCATCTGGCAATATTTTCAGCTGACTAAATCATTATGCACTTGTCCTGCACTGAGTTGATAAAGGGGAATTCCACCGATTTTCTAAATTTCTGTATATTTTCATATTCGCAAATTTCTAAATTTCTGAAATGACATGCTTTGTAACTTACTGAGTCAGAATTGTTTACAATGGTGGTGATAGGAACCAGACATTCAAAGAGTTTAATGCTTCTGAAAGCTCCCACACGGAAAGTTTTTACGCAAATTGGTTACTAATACTTTGCGTCATGCTGAAGATATTGTTTTATGATAGTAACCGCCAGTGAAAAAGCTTCTATTTGGAATTCCTTGCTAGGTTAATAGAAAGGGTTTCATTACAAATTGTATTACCAGCATAGAGTAGAATCTTGGAAATGTTAACATGAATTTCAGAATTTCATAGTATTTGATATGTCCTTCTTTTGCTTTAGTGGCAGCGTGCACACGGGCTGATGGAGGCTCCACAACTTTGTGCAAAATCCTCTGCTGAGTAAGTCAAATGCTTCGCAGATTCACCTGAACACGAGCTTCTCTGGAAGAGACGAGATGAAAAAAAGAAAAAAAAAACAGACCTTTTTTTCCGAAGGCCTCAATAAAGTCAAGGTTGCAAATTTGCTTAAATTTGAATTGTGACCCAGAAGAAGTGGAGAATTTTGAATGTTTCTTCTTCACTTGTCCTTAATTTTCTTTGTTTATATATTTTTTTAATCCTAAAATGTTCTGTTGTTTATTTCTAATTTTAAATTAAAAAAATTCTCAGAATTTCATTGTGGTCTTTTGGATCCCACTGAATAATAATTCACACGTAGTAAATAAAACATAGAAAATAAGATGTCTATATTTGTATATTTCACAACCCCTGGTTCATTTCAGCACCACTGTAAGTCACTAAGTTGCTCGACTATGATCCATTTCACATCAAACCATTCTGACTGACTTTATTTACACATAATCGATTAAGTAATTAAGCAATGTCTGTGTTAGCATCGGTATTGAAAGTGGCACCTACACCTCAGATTTAGACCTGTTATTCTTATCAGCACTGAGAAGGTTTTTTTGAGCAAAGGTGCTTTCACAGGACTTTTTTTTTTCCATTCACACCTCACTGCCCCCGACTTCCTCTTAGGACATGCTAATACACACACACACACATACATAAACACACACAGCTTTATTGATTGGGATCAGCATTCATGAAACATCTTATGACTTTTGCTACTTTATCTCTCTTTGCCACAAGTTACGACAGCAAAAAGCTTAGCAAGTCAGTCTGTGCAACATTACTGCCACTGTCAGAGACAGCTCCCAACAGAAAATCATTATCTATAACTCTATAACTCTATAACTCAGACATCAATATATTGTTTACCAATACACAACGGTTTATGAAAGTAATAGCTTGACAACAAACATGATTCATATTTTCCTTCTGAACTGTGACCTATCTATGAGTAAAACACACTATCATAGCCATAAAATAACCATAATTAACATATAGGGTCACTCAAAGCAAGAGGATTTTAGTCTAAAATCCAAATCAGTTAACTTTGACTTTGAACCAATTCTGTAGAATGATTCATGATAATTGTTGGTCCACCTTGTAGATGTTAGAGACTGTAACTTTGTTTATACACAATTTGTGTCAGTCATCCTTTAGTCTTTCATCAGTGGTCAGTTTCTGGCCACAGAGCTGCTCTTGGCTGGATATATTTGGGTGGTAAACCACTTTGAACATAGCAGGGACACTGTAAAAACCAGCAACACTGCTGTGTTTGATCATTGTCTCATGAGGCCAAGCATGTATTCTGTGTGTTGCTGTCAGATTTCTGATCATATGTCAATTTAACGAAGCTGCATATTTTTGAGAAAAATGTAATGTAAAAACTGCACTGAGTTGATAAAGGGGAATTCCACCGATTTTCTAAATTTCTGTATATTTTCACATTTGCAAATTTGGAGATTTTTTAAAAATTCCAAAAATTATCATAGAGAAATATGTGTTAAAAATACATGTAGATGGGGCCTGAGCTGGCTAGATGACATTTTTGCAGTAAAAAAGTTTCCGGTGTTTTTGCTTTAAAATATTTTTAAAATATTGAGCTTATTGAATTTCACATAATACGTTAACAGACTATAAACCAGACAATTCATCTGATGCCTTACAGGTTAATAAGTAAAATCACTGAATGTTTACATCTCAGTACATGGCTAAAGGTACATCTCAGTACCTTTATTCAGGGAACATAATTGTACCATAATCCATTGAAATTATATTGTGTAAGTTGTATTGACTCCACACACCCCGTCTCGTCTCCAAGCTTTTTATTCTATTGTTCTGTTTTAAAACATTATATTATGAAAAGGTACAAATACAAACTTTTCGCCTGGGAAAACTTATTTGAGGTACACAACAAGACCTTAAAAACACTGTTATACCTAACAGTGTAGAACATTTCCAAACTGCATGTTTCATTACAAAAAGAGCAGTTTAACTGGATTTAGTGCCGTTAATGTTAAAGATGAATTACTGTATCTATAGTTTGTACATTGATTTTTAAATGTGGCATTACTTAGTCGGTTCCAACTTATCAGGTGTCAGAAAACTCTTTGAAGGATGTTGATATTGCATTTCTACCCTGTTGCCCAGCTCTAGCAAGGTATAATACTGCTTAAAATATATAAAAATGACCAGGGACAAGTTAATGAAGGAAAAATGTACTCTACACTGTTAGAAATAAAGGTTCTGTGCAGGTACATTTTTTGTCCATCAAGGTACAAACACTGTAAGTGTTCCCTCAAAGGTACAACAGTGGTTTTAAGGTCCAATTGTTGTTTTTACTAGTGGAAAAGTACTTGTACCTTTTCATAACCTAATGGTTTTTAACAGAACAGTAAAATAAAAAGCCTGGAGATGAGATGGGGTGTTTCAATGGATTATGGTACAGTTATGTTCACTGACTAAAGGTACTGAGATATATCCTGGGGGGTACCACCCCTGTGCCATGTAGTGTACCCCCCCCCCAGGAAAGGACTTACTGTTGTTGTTTATGTTGTTGTCTGTTAAAGGATATGTTGTTTGTGTTATTTTGTATCTGTGGGGTGTTTGTGTGTTGGGGGCATCACCGTGAAGTGGTTTCCTGTGGCTAATGGTGAGCCCCCTTTTGGTTGTATATTATGTGCCTGTCTGCCTGGTGTGTAACAAAAGAGCACTTCTTGCAACAAAATCAAGGCCTCTCTTGTGTCTTACTCTGCACTGTACTTTTGATTTAAGATTAACCTGCAGCAGTAGGTGCTGCTGCCGATTTTCATCTGTCTGTTGATGCCTGTTGGTCAGCAGTGTATGCAGTTATGGAGAGTTTTTCTTTTTCCCTCGAAATAAATGAACTCAATGCAAAAGTGACAGTAAATTTTCTACACTCACGTTGACTCGAGTGAGAAAAGATGAGCAGGAACGCTCGTCCTGTGGAGCATTAGCGTTAGCTTTCTAACTAGCTTATATCACCTTAGTAAACTCCTTACAAAGCAGCAATCTTAAATATAATAGCAATCGACACATCAACATACCGTTCTAGTTCACATTCCGGGGCACTGATTGAAAAAGTGCTTGATGAATTTATCTTCACCTGGAAGACTATCAGGTCCTGTTGGTGCCACTTTTGAGCAGCTACCAAAAACCGGAAAACTAGCGCCTTCGGTACTGAACCGATGGTGAGTGATAAAAGTTCCAGGCTTCTGGTGATTTCAACACGTTGTGCAATGGAAAAAAACACCCTAAGTCATGAGAATGCATTGTTTTGCTACTACTGAAAGTGCTACTGCTGTAGTTTTCATGATCAGATCTGAATAAAAGCAGTACTGATACTTTTCCTAGGTAGTATGTTGATTCAGAAGCAGAATGCATGTTCGTATATATTGCGTGAGAGAGAGAGACTACATCCAATGCAACCACTAGATGGCTAAACACATTCATTTATTTCAAAGGAAAAGATGTGAATAAACTACTGTTTATGTTTATCACCACAAGCCAGAACTTTGACCTCTCTAGTGGGAAACGCAGTGGCAGCCTAATAGGCTAGTTTAATGAATTCCCTGTAGGCTGTAGCTGCTAGGTGTGCACAGACCTCAGTGTTGCTAGGCGTTCAGTCCTCATGCTAAATGCTTATTCTCCACATCAGACCTACAATAAAGCACCTTCTTGCTGCTCAGTATGTTCAACTGCATTATTAGGCTCTAATACGGAAACAGAGACAGAGATATGGCTGTAATAGACTGTTAATAAAGGGGAAAACCACCAACCAGGACAAGCACTTTTTTGAAGACAGAATATTGATCCAGTGTAGCCTTTGGACCTGTAAATAAAAGCTGCTCTTCAGTTTCTCTGAGGTCATTAGGCCTGCTAACATGTCTGGACACAAGTGGCACCAAGGCATGGTGCACTTCGAAGAGTGATACAGGTCTATTTTTATGGCTCGAGGAGTGGATTAAGTGTGTTTTGATGGAGATGAGCTGAGTTGTGGGGAGTTATGGAGCTCAGGAATGGCATCAGTGTGGTGAGCTCGGTGTACAGCGTGGATACAACAACTGGAAACCTCCCAAGTCAGGTATGTGCCTTATTGTATTAGGTTTAAATAACTGTAATTCATTATATAATTAAGCTGAATGGCCAATATGCGGATTGGACAGTAGATTCTGTTCTGTCACTGTATCCCACCTGCAGTAACAGAGGTATTAGGATCCTCGAACTTACTTAAAATGTGGATTTGTGTTTTCAAAGGCGTCATGATGCTTTCGCTTCTACTCAAGCATGTTGTGAAAAAAGGAATCAGCTCTTTTCTCTTCATTTTAGGCCTGCACTTAGTTCCCAAATTGCCTTTGTTGGATTTCATTTCATTCAGCTCCTTTATTTCTATACTGTTGCCCATACCTTGCAATTGGAAGATTTTTGTTTCAATAGCAAGAAATACGAAGGCTGATATTGCAATACTGATAAGTTGGCTGTGCCATTTCTGTGATTTCTAAAGTCTAAAAAATTCAATTCTTGGAAAGAAACAGGATGTGAAGTATCAATATGTCAGTATGAATCCGCCCACCTCTAGCTTTAGTATCTAATGTTAAATCAGTTAAGAGGCTCCACTGCACTTCTCAACTGAACTCAGTATGTGAGGAGTTTTGGACCTGATATACATTTACTCAGCCTGACTTTTGATGACTGCTTTTATTGCTATGTTGACACAGTGCTGCAAAAAATATTCATCCCCTGCTGATTTCCTCAACTGTTGCTTATTTGTCACACTAAATGTTTTCACATCTTCTTAGAAAATGTAATATAAGAAAAGAAGAACATGAGGACAGAAAACACAATTTTGAAATTGTTATTTGATTTATTGAAGGAAAAAAGTTAACTGATTGTGCCACCTTTAGCAGCAATAACCGCAACCAAACACTTCTTTTAACATTAGATCAGCCTTTCACATCACTGTGGAGGCAGATGGTGTTTGATAACTGTGACTCTGGCCCACTCTTCTTTAAAAAATTGCTGTTTTCCGCCACACTGGAGGACTTCCGAGCATGAACTGCATGTACGGCATCTCAGTGGGTTGAGAATTTTGACTAGGCCAAAACCTTAATTTTGTTTCTTTTGAGCGATACATTGCTTTTGTATCTTGCTGTATAAGCCCTTGCTGCTTCAGAGCATGGACTGATGACTGCAGGACTTTCTGATAGAGAACAGAATTCATGGTTCTGTCAAATATGGTGAGTCCCAGTCCTGGAAGCAGCAAAGCTTCCCCACACCTTCATACTACCACCACCATGTTTGAATGTCAGTGTGATGTTCTGATTGTGGAATCCAGTGTTAGCCTTATGTTACATGTAACGGGACACCTGTCTTCCAAAAAGTTCCACCTTCAACTCATCAGTCCACAGACCATTATTCCAAAAGTCTTGGGGGTCATCTAGTTGTTTCGGTTAATGTAGGCAGTGGTTTTCGCCTTGCCATATGGACACCTAGGCTCTATCTTATGGTGGAATTGTGAATGCTGACCTTACCTGAGGTGAGTAAGGCCTGCAGTTCTTTCCGGGTTCTTTTCGCTCTGCTCTGAGGAATTTTGGTCAGTTAGCCACTACTGAGAAGATTCGCCACTGTGCAAATTTTCCTTAGTTTGGAGATAATGGCTCTTGCTGTGGTTAGGTGGAGTCCCAGAACATTAGACAGGGCTTTGTAACCCTTTCTAGACTGATATGTTTCAGAAACTTTCTCACTCATCTCTACTGGATCACAGCATGGTGTGCTGCTTGTTGGTGCATGGTGTTTCAGCCTTGATGAAAAGGTTCTATTTAATTGAAGTAATTGAGCCTGGATGTGTCTGACTTAGTGTTTGATAACATTTTCCCTTCAAGAAATAAAATGATCATTTAAAAACTGTGTTTTTGTGGACACACATGGTCTTTAATTTGTATTAACTTCTTATTGAAGGTCTAAAATAAATAATGGAGACATATATGCAAAAATAGAGGATATCAGGGCAAATACTTTTTTCTAAAAAAAAATCTAAATCTAGCCACTCTGTGAAGTTCCTCTAACTGTGTCCAGCTGAGTGGTGTAATCTGTTGCTGACTTGCCCACAGGTAAAACCTGACGATGACGCATTACCATCTTCCACACATAAGATACACCCAAAACAGATGATCACTTTGATCCTCCTGATCATCATCATCCTGATCCTGGCTGGAGGTTCAGCACTTCTCTGGTACTTTCTAGGTAATAAGCAAATTAAGTCTGAGAATACTGTTACTGTCGTGGGAAGATGCTGTAGCTTTGAAATGGTAATTGTACAGGAGAAGAATAAATATACACAAAAAATCCAAACATATCCAGATATTTAAAAAATGGAATTTTTTCCTCCATTGCCAAAAAAGTTTTCAAAAAATTTTGTCATACACCTCAAGAAGAATACTTTGTTCATGTGTACTATGCGAATTGTAGAGCATGCTGTGAAACTGAAGCAGAGATTTTCTAACACAATGATAGGCAGCGTGTTTCAAATAACAGGCCGTCAGACATCCAGAATTCAACATTTCACGATATTTCAAGTCTGATTCCTGGCAGAAAATAAAAGCTTAGAAAAGCAAAAGAAAACCTGCAACTTGCCGTGGGGTTGTTTACACTTCTATCTCTGAAACAGTCCACACAGTTCTGTTTAGGCAGAGAAGAGTTTTTCTAGCTTTCTCCGCATTTGAATTATGGAAATCTGACTTTTGTTAAAGATCATTTACATAAGCTGAGCACAGTACATTCTGATGCCTCTGCACTTTGGTTTAATAAGTTAAATTCAGTTATAAACATATTATCAAGTGCAAAATCACCCCTATATTGCTGAGCACATAGGAAAAAAAAGCCAATCGTCAGCCATAGATAAACTGCATTTTGTCTGTCCACATGAAAACACTGAAAATAGCTTTTCAAAAATCTCCACTCTGGAAATCGGTTCCGAAAACCTATGTTTTCACTGAACAAAAATGCCCCTTTCATGTGGAGGGAAAGACAAACTGTAGAGAAAATTTATGTTTTCCAAAGTAACATGTGGCTGGGGCCTCACTCAATCATGTTTAGCAGGCTGAAGATTCTCTAAATGGTGCTTTGCATCAGTGATGCTGTTGCCTTGTTTTATTTAATACTGCTGGTTTTATTTTGTAGATGACATTCACTCTCTCTTGCTCTCTCTCTCTCTCTGTAGAGTATAGAGTCTGGGTGTTGGAGGTGAGGGTGCAGCAGCAGTACACGGCCCAGATCTCCATTCTGAACAGGAACTATTCCAGTGCTCTCTCCTCTCACAGCAGTCGGGTCTTCAGGGAGGAGGCGCGCGGAGTTCAGGCCATGGTGAGAACACTATTCCATGGTCCACAATGTCCACAATTCAAATATATAAAATAAACACAATAAAGATGTGGAGAAGGGGGCGTGGCTGAGCGTCGAATGCAGGACGGAGAAGCTGGTCTGGCTGAACCAACAGGCTAAGTAGCTGATAATGTTCACCTGTGCCTTGTTTCTGCCAGCCTACTTATAGGCAATCTCTTCCTTCAGTAGGCGGCAGAGCCCAGAGAGAGAAGGAGACCACTGAAGGCGTGAGAGGCGGATAAGAAGTGGAAAGAAAGGACTGAAAAGTCCCAGCGAGCGTTTTGTCTTACTTTGTGGGCTGAAAAGCAGAGTATATTTTGGGTTGTGTATAAGTGAATAAAAGAGCTCTCTGTCTTCACACCTGCCCCCGGCGTCTTTCCTCCTCCCACCGTTAAAGTTTCCACAAAAGTATAATTAAACATTCAAACACAATTGAATCTTAAATACATTTTAATCTACACACCCCTATCCTGCTGGGGTCCAAGAACTCGCCCACGTGTCAAATTTAACGATTCTATATATGTTGAGTTTCCCGTTCCATTCCATCTTGTCGAAAGATCGTAAGTGACTCACATCTGGAGTTATGAGGCTATGAAGAGGGGTCAAGATGCATGTTATCTGCCTCTCACTGAGTGTAACTGTCCATCTACATTTTGTGTGAAACTGACCAATGGACACTCAGAAAATCATTAAAGACTGACCCATCATGCTGGAAACCCTTTCAGAGGCACATGTGAAATTATGTGCAAAGAGTTTACAGCCATTGACAATGCTGCAGTGGTTTTGGAAAGTAACAGGAAGACAACAGAGCATTTTGATATGAAACATATGAGTATCATTTTATAAGCAAGTGCTTTTAAAGGAGAATTTACAAAGATATGCAAAAATCGAGACAATACCCTTAGACCCCATGGTCAAAAGGGGTTCTTCAGGGGGTTTTAGTAAAGGCAATGATCATAAAACCAAGACAACTCGATGTTATGTTCTTCAGTCCTGCTGTTGTTTTGTTATTGTTGGTGATAACTGCAACCTATAAGGGTTGCCATCAGTAGACTATGTAACCAGTGAATTATCATCATTTGTGTATAAGTTAAAATGTTCTTGCTCTCATCCATCCTTTCAGGTGGAGAAACTTGTGAAGTCCACTGATCTGTCTCGCTATTTCAACTCCACCACAGTCTTCGCCTTTGGGTGAGAAATGACCTGAACCACAAAATTCATACCACCTAATCTGTACAGTTTGCTATTAGAGCATTTTCATCCCATCCTGCTCTGTTCCACAGAGAGGGTAGCGTAGTGGCGTATTTCTGGCTGTTGTTGTCCCTGCCTGAGAGCCATGCTGAGAAGGTGACGATGCAGAAGGTGAATGAGAGCCTGTGGAAAAGGCTGCAGAGCTTCAGAGAGAGAGGGGTCCAGGATACAGCAAACTATGAAAGCTATCTGCTACACCTGCCCTCATTCTGCATAACAGGTAACAAGATAACGGTACAAGCTCTGTATCACGTAAGGCAGTTACTGTTGATTATATTAGTAATCAAATAATCCATGAATTGTTGTGATGATTCATAAAGTAACCACAGTTTAAAAAAAAAAGACCAAACTATAAAAATAGGCTTAACGTTGCAATATGTAAGTTTTGGGGGTTTGGAGACCTCTCTGGTGGAAATGTGTAATTACATGTAACATGCAGAAGACTTTGTAACATGAGTTGTGTTTCAGAACCCTTCCCCGAGCGGGTGAATCTTAAGATTGTGAGTGTGTCGAAAGTGTATTCAAAGAGAACTCAGTCGAAACTGGATGAAAGATTGTATTATCTACTGTTATCATAATATCTTTATCAGAATTATATTCATTTTGTATTTGAGTCCTAAACACTGAGCTCGACCTTTTCTTTTTGAGCCCGTGCGTGTGACGTTAATATGAAAAGATGAATGATTTGGTCCAAAAAACTCCCCACACCTCTGCCTTTTAGCTTATTGTTTCAGGCTTTACAGGGTGACTCAGTAACGCTACTTCTTTCAGATTTAACAAAAACATCTATCATAGTGCAGCTTTCAATTAACAAAAGCAAAAAGCCTTTTAAAGATTTCAAAATACTTCATGGGTAAAATAGTTTTATTTATTTATTTGTTATTATTTTTTTTTAATTAACTATGTGGCAAAATGTGGCGTATTAACGTGTTGCTCTGTTTCTTACTGTTATAAAGAGCAGCTGTAAAATTTAAAATGCACAATCATCTCACTCATCTGACACTTCTGATTTGAGAATTTTAATTTGATGTTTAATTTTTTGCATTTAATTGGTTGATTTTAATTAACAATTGATTGATAATTTTAATAATTTAATATTTTTTATTGTTTGCATTACTATTCAGTCAAAGGCTTGTTTTAAATTCACTTTTTTCATTTTGCTTTGCAGAAACCAAACCCAAAGTTATAGATGTTTTGCGAGCTTCATTTGGTATGACTTTTTCGTTCCTCAGTTTTCTTTTGTTGTTATGAGTGTCTGGTCTATTTTGAACATGCAGTTGCCACTCCGGGTCTTTACGTTTCTGTTTTCTCCTTGTTGACTACCTGAGGGTCGTTACTATGGTGTTTGTTATTTGTTTCTATGGAAGTTGTTTCCATCTCTCTCTCCTTCTTCCTCTCTCTCTCTCTCTCTCTCTCTCTCCCTCTCTCTCTCTCTCTTTCCCTCGCCCTCCCTCTCAGATTGTTACCGGTACCAGTCAGTGGTCTCTAGCACCCCTGTGGTTTTGCGAGGGCCAAACACGCAACGCTCATCCTGCCTGTGGCACCTGAAGGCCTCTGAGGGCTCCCAGCTGGAGCTGAGAGTGGAGTGGCTGCTGCCAGAGTGCAGAGACCGTCTTGCAATTTATGATTCGCTCGCCCCCGACGACTCCACACTCATCACCTCGTGAGTCCCTGCTGCATTTTTAACCCCTTAAACCCACTGAAACCCTAACTCTCATCACTACAGAACTTTCAGAACTACACATTAGTTTCATAGCAGTGATTAAGTTGTTGATAGTTACTAAATCATAAGTCCAAAATTTTCAGTGACTACTGTGAACTTACTGTGTCATTTCTGTAGTTGTGAGAATGAGGAATTTCAGTGTGGGCAGCCTTAGAGTTTAAAGGGTTGATTGTTTTTGTAGTATTTCTCTCACCTCTCTCTCTCTCTCTCTCTCTCTCTCTCTCTCTCAGTCTGTATGGCTGCAGCAGGCAGGAGCAGGTGGTGCAGGTGTTGTCCTCTGCTGACTGGATGACCGTGGTGTGGAAGCAGGGCCAATACAACTACAAAGACCCCTTCTCTCTCTCTGCTCAGGCCTGGCCCAACAGGAGTGAGTCTTTCTCTCTCCCACACTCAAAACTGGTCTCAAATGATCAGCATCCTTTTTACTGTTGGTTATAAAATGTATACAAGAATATATAGTAGATTTTAGAGCTCAGGATGTTCCAGTGCGCATTCACTCCACTCTGATAAGATGTAGCAGATGCCTAGTTTTAAACAGTGACTGGTTTCGGTTGGAATCGGTGAAAGATGGCTAGTGAGACATGCTCGGAAGAAAGCCAGCTGCATATTGCTGAACATGTTTACAGCGTTCTTTTTTCAATGTTTCAATTGCTTTGACATCTTTACACCTTGATTTTCTGTAGATTAACAATCTGTAGATTTAAAAAACGTAGATGTAAATATTACAAAGGAAATTGTATTTTTTAGATGTTTCGTTTGTCATTGCTTCATGCAATACAAGTATTTTGGGAACAACAAGAGGTTAAATGAAATGACAAATAGCTTACAGATGTTTGCAAATGTTTGAACACCCATGGTCAAATTACATGCTTTGTTGACTGAAAATAAGTTAACACATCCTCTATAGAGAACACACTTAAATATGTTATTATTCTCCAATTTTTACTGCACAATTTCTATTTATTTATTAGGTAAATTTTTGAAAAAATAAAACAAAAAATATAAAAAATGTGCCATAACTTTTCACACAGGCTACAAATTTATGTTTTATTTTTCCCCCAAAATGTTAAACTCAGCAAATAAACAGTAACTGCATATTAAAATGTGAAATAGTGTCTTCTCTGAAGAGAATATAGAAAATGAACAAAATGTGATATGACTAGGGGCATCCAAAATTATGCATACTAACATAATAAAGTTTTTTTAAAACTTACCTGCAACCAAAGTGAGTTTACATTGCTAAAACATTGGGCCTCATTCACAAACCGTTCTTAAGAAGATTTTTTTTCTTGAAAACCCACTTATGCAAATTCTGACATCCACCAGTGTTTCTTATTTAGGATTTGTTCTTAGGTAAGAACAGAATCTACACACAGTTAAAAGCACAGAGGTGTGAACAGTTCTGTGGTTGAAGAACACGTCATAGACTTTTTCTTAGGACCTTTCTCAAGAACCCATTTAAGAAAAACCTTACGAAGATATTGGTGAATGAGGCCCAACGTTCCTAAACTTATGAACTGAAGTGTATTCCGTTATATTACATAGGTTGTAGTGATATCTGTTTTTATTTGTTTGATTCTTTGTATATAGATTGTTCCTACAACATTGATTTGAAGCCAAAAGAGGGAGTTCAAGGGACTTTACACACCCCGTTTTACCCCAGCTACTACCCCCCAGACACGAACTGTACCTGGCACTTCACAGTGAGTCTCACACACGGCTATTACTCTTGTGTTCACTGGAAATAGAGTCTTTGATGGGAGGATGGATGTTTGAGTGGACAAATGAACCATTGTGTGGTTGATAGGTAAGATGGATAGTGAATGGCTGATGGATTACTCTGATAACATGATGTTTGATACAGCAGTTTGTTAAGTCTTCTCAAAAAGCATTTTGTTTATAGGTGCCGTCGGTGGAATATGGGCTGACCCTGGAGTTTGAGGGTTATGAGCTGAGTCGAGCTAGCTACACCAAAGCCTGCACACAAGGCCAGTGGCTCATCCAGAACCGCAGGCAAGGTTTAACACTAAACTACACATGCACGCCCCCTAGAGGTAGAGAGTGCAGCATCTGTTTTTGGGGGTGAAGTTAGGGGTCACAATAATTGAATTATTTAATTACTATTAAATAGTCAACCAGTCATTCAAAGAAGTAGTTAACTACTCGTCATTACTGTAGTAAAAAACTACAATGAGTGTTGCGGGAGTTAATGAGAAGTGCTAGTAATGCACTACAATGAAAATTCTTGACCAAAGTTCAGATCACACTTGGCCCGAAAACCAAAAGTCAAAAGAAAGGATTAATTTAGGTACAATTTTCTGATTTATTTATGCTATTGAATTACCACAATAATGCTGACAATGTTTTAAGGATGATAAGTGCCATGTTGGGAGAGAGAACTGAGAGGACTAATTTAATTAAATATTTAAAAGTTGTAAAATTATGCAAATACAATATTTCATGTTTTCTCAAAGGCATCTCCAGTTGAATTCCAGAACACCTTTGCTATAATGAAGGAAACCACCTTATTTTTTTTTTATATGTAAAGTACATAGACATGGAACTCCCGTTTAGCCATCTAAAGTGTCTCCAGCAGGGAGCACACAAGTCGCTCTAGCACTCGTAATTTAAAGAAGAGAAACAGCCGTAAACGTCAGCAGGATCTAACAAATGCACATTTTCACAGTAACAACTTTTAAAACCAGAGGTAAAAATGTTTATTACCAAAAAATATTGAGTTACTCAGTATTGTTATTGTGATTTATATTAGGAAATTTCTTTAAATTTGTTAAAGCTAAAAAGCACGTAAGACTGTATTGAAGGGAGGGGTAAGCTGCAGTGTTTGAGTGTTTCACTGTTGATCTGCTGCTGCTCACACTGTTTGAATGTGGGAACAAACAGTGCTTATAGTCACTGTTTCTCATTTTCCTTAAAATTCCCATATGGAAAAGAAATACATATAAAATGTGTTTGTCAAATACGTTTGAAAATGTATGAAAATGGCCAAAAAGTATTCTTTGGATTATGCATTTCAGTGTTTGGAATGAAACAATGTATTTCACGAGTATCTCACATATAAAAACAAAAAATAGCCTATGTATTTCTTTTCCATGTGGGCCAATTTGATCGATTTTGACAATTCACTGTAGACTTGTGTAATTTACTTTTTTCAGCCAAGCTTTTTTAGCCTTTTCGCTTCGGCTAGTAAGTAGGTCAGAATTTTGCTAAGAAGCACATTATTAGCAGTTAGCTTCTAAGTACTACCACAGATGTTGCATCTTGTCATGTGAGGTGTAAGTTTTTGTCATGTTGACACTCTGCTGACGGAGTTCCACCAACCGTCTGCGGTAAACTGAACACTGAAACAGAGAGTTGTGATAAAGATATACAATCTTTGGCTAAAATCACCGTCATTCTTAGAAACTCGCCTCGCTGTCTACACTTCTAAGCATTGGTTTAATCAGTCTGATGGGAAACATGCAATTGTTTACTAAGCTAAATGATGTAATCTCTGCATACCAAGAGCAGTTCAGTATGAGAACCTTCACACTAACATATTTTTAAAAAGTTATTCAAGAGTTTCATTTGAAACAAGCAAACTTTAAAATTTAGTAGCAGGTAAAGAAGGTACACCACACAGCCCTGTTTTTGTTACACACTTGTCACATTAAATGATTGTTTTTCACACCAGTCGAATGGGCCTTACATATCATTAGAAAACTACACATTCTGGCTTATGAGTCTGTATTTCAAATAGGTTTTATGTTAGTGACAGTTTTGTCTCATATTTGCACACCAAGGCCCAATCCCATTTCTTATTTTCACCCCTACCCCTTGTTTTCGATTGTCACCTTGCCTCTTGGAACTGAGGTGCAAGGGGTAGTGGTTAAAATCTTCCCCTCAAAATGGGACCCTCAAATAAAGGAGAACATTATTTCATTAACAGGCTACTAGTGGTGCTCTGTAGGCAACCCTGCCAGTCTGCAGTGACAGCAGAGGAGGGTAAAGTTCAGCAACTCAGCATCACTGCTGGGCTTTAGTTACATTTAGGACATCATATGCCTTCAAAGAGGGGGTGAGACAATTATTTATTATTGCCCACCTCTAATTCTTCAGTGATATGAAGCTGAAGTCAGATATTCACCAGCTTCTTATTTTAATTTTCCCGTTCCACCTTAAATTTAAGTGGAACGGGAAATTTAGCTAGCTACAGAGACATCAGCAAACTACTAGTGATTTTTATTGCTAGTTATGAAGAAAAGGACCATAATACATTGAAACAACATTAAACTAAGATAATATAATGATTATCGTAATTTTTTAAGTGAGAAAATACTCACATTTGTGGGTTTCCTTGGTCGCTTGCTCAGCCATCTTGCCAGTTTTTCTGTTTTCTGTTTGGAGTGTGCTTCTGAAAAACCTCCGTTTGAAGGGCCTTATAGCCCAAACACTTCGCCCTACCCCTCTATCTTACCAAAAATCGAGACACCCTACCCCTAAGCATGAATGTGCAAAATGGAGGGATAAGGGCTAAGTGGTAGGGGTGAGGGGTGAAATGGGATTGGGCCTAATAATGTTCAGCCAAAGAGCTGTTTTTCATTACTAAACTCAGGGACTCACCTTGACAAATCAGCTGACCAATAGACAGTGCGGGTGAACACCCTCTTCCAAAACCCGCCCCCTGTTAAAAAGCGCCAAAACTCAGAAGCAAGAGAAAAGTTTCAGAAGCAAAAGAGCGATTACAGATTCCAAAAAATAAAGAAATACATAAAACAAAGCAAAACTGGTCAAAAATCAGTAATACAGAATGAGTGAAAATGAGTAGTAATCTTTTTTGAAAATTTAAGTTTGTTTAAACTCTCATTATTTGTATTTGCAAAATATTTTAGACATTTTAATACCCAATAATTTGCTTGTGAATTTTATTATTTTATTTGAAAGTTTTGGCACAAAATTAACTTCATAAGATGTGTCTACCTGATAAAGTGTATATACTAGTAAATGATTAATGAATGTTGTGGTAAGTCTGTTGTGATGATGTTATTGAGCAAACTTGAGAAACATATGATGTGGTCTTGAATTATTTGCATATGTGTGTGTGTAGAATGTGCGGTACGCGTGGTTTGCAGCCCTACGCTGAGCGGCTCTACCTCCACTCCTCCACCACCACCGTGTCAATGAAATCAGAGGTGTCCCTCACAGGGCCCGGCCTGCAGGTCCAATACAGCATCTTCAACCAATCAGATCGTTAGTTCATCTGTCAATTCTGCACACATAAACTCTATATGACAAATGTTTGGAAGCAAGTGGTTACATTATAAGTTACATAAATGACAATTCACCAAAAAGCAACACATAATTCATAAAATCTAGTTTTACCTTTGAAAGGTTTGGTTCATCAGCCAAGACCGTATGTCCAGATTTTGCTTCTTTAGTTTAGCGCTGAAGCTCTGAGCATTCAGCTATATGGTGACGTTTTGGTAATGTTTATATTTTGGAGAAAGTTACACTGTATCCTGAACCATATCAACAAGTCTGTGGAGCCTTTATGAAGACCTGGATGCAGTTTGCACACGTTGAGAGAAGCTGTGCAGCTGTATTCACAGAAAAGATTTGGGTGACTATTGACTTCTAGTGTTCAGCCACATAGCCCTAGTGCTAAAGAAAATTTAGACACCAGGCATGTTTTGGCTGATTGACTACTCTCTTAAAAAAGATGGTTCTTTAAGTGTTCTTTAAAAAAATGGCTCTATAAAGAACCATGAACATTCAAAGAACCCTTTGCATTATTGAAGGGATCTTTGCATTATGAAAGGGTTCTTCAGATTGGTGGAGAATGTCCATGAATGTGCTATAGATGGTTCTATGTAGAACCTTTTTCGAAAAGGGTTCTATATACCACCCAAAAATCTTCTATCTTCTACTGTTATAAGCTTGACATCATAACAATAGAGGAACCTTTTTGGGTGCTAGATAAAATCATTTTGACATCTACAGCACATTCTCCATCGATCTGAAGAACACTTTAATCATGCAAAGGCTTCTTTGAGTGTTCATGGTTCTATATGTTGTATAGTGTAACTGCAGACATTCAATCAAACTCTTTTGTTCTGTGTTATAGATGCATATTCAAATGATTTATTACTAATGTTTACTTTTATCAGATCTATTGTTGCTACTGAGGTTTTAGCCTGTAGTGTCTGAACTGTGGCCATTTTAAATCTGGTGTGTGGTTGTATTTATCTGTGTTGTATGTGTGTGCGTGTTTAGCGTGTCCTGGGCAGTTCCTGTGCAGCGTGAATGGCCTGTGTGTGTCGGCGTGTGATGGTATCTCAGACTGCCCCAGCGGTCTAGATGAGAGAAACTGTGGTAAGAGATTCACCACCGAACTCTCTGAACAACCCAATCACCAGTGTTGGGGGTAACAAGGTAGAAAGTAATGTTAATATGATCATGTTTTTCCGTTACAAAGTGGCAGCATTAGAGTTTGTGGCATTACAATTTAAATTCTTGTAGTTTTAGTTGCCACATTCGTCAAATACACTACAGGCTTCCGCAGCATTTGTGACAACAGACTGAAACATTTAGTCGTACAAAAGAAAATTTAGAAGCACGAAGAAGAGAACATTAGCTTTATAAGATGTTCAGTGCAACATACGTGTTTGATATCTGATAAAATATGCATATTAGCCAGTTTTAGGTTAGAAAAATGGATTCTGGCCTCAGTCACACCTTTCCATCTGTTCTTAGTCTGAAAATTCGGAATTATTTTTATTTACTGCCACTGCCGTTCTCACTGCAGGTTTGTTTTGAGGAGTTTTGGCAAAGTTCTTGATGGGAGAAGTAGCACTTAGAGATGATTGGGATTGGCTGAGAAGTACAAGTTTTGTAATATAGATAAAATATAGAGTCGTGAGCAAAGTTTGGGCACCCCCAGCCATGTTTTGTTGATTTTCTAAGTGAAAATAAGTTAACGTATCCTCTACATATATCAAGCACACTTCAGCACATTTTAATGCACAATTACTGTTCATTAACTAAATTTAACTCACTGGGAAAAAATGGAAACATAAGACATGGCATCTGCAAAAGATTTCACACTTTTTAGGCCAGATTCATAAAAAGCTCTGCCAGATTTACTGTAATATGAAGAGTAATGTAGTGGAGAGTAATGGAGTAAAGTAGTGATGTGGTCACAGGTCTGGTAATTCATGAACAAGGATTACCGGCATGTTTTATCTCCTGCACACGTGCTGGCAGATTTAACTGACACTGAACCTCTTGGCTCTGTAACTGGCACCACTTCTTCTTCCTGCCGATTTAATGTTTTACAAAAATGTGCAAAGATGCGTATGAAAAATAGGTTTAGCTTGTAATGTTAAACTTTAATTCATTAATTAATTTAAATTGTTACTGCAATTATAAGGATTAGAGAAAGCCTTGAAGTCCTACCAATGAGAAACGATATCTTACATGTTAAAACATAATTCTTATAATTAAAAGCTGAATTTCAAGATGTGAAGATGTGATTGATTTCTAGCATAAACAACATTTTCTGATAAAGAAACATTGTTTCTTGATTAAAAGTTAAAAGCATCCTCACCAAACTACTTACTATTATTTGTCAGCACTTTCCCTTAAATTCATAGCTCAGTTTCTAAGAATTTTGTATTTTTTTGTTTCTTGTTTTTGTTTTTTTTTCATCAAATTGTTTTGGCCACCTTCACTTCACTTCACTTGAATTTGTATTTTCAGTTATTTCACAATATTTTAAACTCAGCAAATAAATAGAAACTGTGCACTAAAATTTGCTGTGAAATGCCATATTTAAGTGTGTTCTCTGTAGAGAATGTGTTATCAGCTTTACATAAAATCAGTAAAACATTTGACCGGGAGTGCTCAGTGTTCTTTATAGGATTGGATTTGTTTTGCAGTGTGTATTGCTCAGTATCGGTGCCCAGAGGACAGTCAGTGTGTGGATTACTACAAAGTGTGTGATCAGCATCCGGACTGCAGTGACGGTGGTGATGAAAAAAACTGCACTCGAGGTATAACGCGCACACACACACACACACACACACACAGGCATACACATGCAGGCACGCACGCACACACACACATGCACGCACGCACGCACACACAATCTCCCTCTCTTAGTACCCCTCTTGTCACTGGGGTGGTTCCCTCAAGGGTACATCTCAGCACCTTTAGTCAGGGAACATAATTGTACCATAATCCATTGAAATGATATTTTCTTGACTCCACACACCCCGTCTCAACTCCAGGCTTTTATTTTACTGTTCTGTTTTAAAACATTATGTTATGAAAAGTTACAAATCTGTACTTTTCACCTGGAAAAACTTATTTAAGGTGCACAATTGGACCTTAAAACCACTGTTGTACCTCTGATGGCAAATTTACATTGTTTGTACCTTGATGAACGAAACATGTACCTGCACAGAACCTTTATTTCTAACAGTGCACACACACAGGGTAGATTATTTGAAAAAAAGTACTTTTAATCAGTTCTATTTTTTAATTAATTTAATCAAGTAATGACGACAGACCTAATATAACACATATACACTCACATACACATTTGATCAGGACTGCGCAGTGGTATTAACATTTAAACTGAAACATAAAGTCTCATTACTAAGATAAATCCTCATTGATAAATGCTTGATCTTGATCATGATTTGATCACTTGTGTGTTTGTGGTGTGTGTAGGAGTTCCATGTACCGATATGACCTATATGTGTGCTGATGGAACGTGTCTGAAGAAGCCGAACCCTGCGTGTGATTTCATCACCGACTGCCCCGATGCCTCTGATGAGAAACACTGCGGTAAGAGACTGTAATGTTGTGGGTTCATATAGTTATTGTATTTACTTTAGCTTTAAGTAATTAGAGGTGGGCGATGTGGCAAAAATGTAACATTACGATACCTTAAGATGTTTTCACAATGCACGATATGTCACGATATATATATTTTTTTTATCTGAAAAATTTGAAAAGTAGTGCTACATTTATAAAACCACTATGAATACAATGATTATATTACATATTTTATATGTTGTGCTTCACTAAATCCAATTAAACAGGACTAATTATGCTCCCTTTGTAATCTATCATGCAGTTGGGATGTGTTTTTAAATACTGACGATATCAACGATTCACTCAGAAAAGCATACTGTGACACATTTTGATCATGATAATGATAAATATTGTCAAATTGCCCAGTCCTACTAGTAATATATCTTACTGATATTATCAATATTATCTGCTGTTTGTTCAGTAGTGTGGGTTAAGATTTACCGTAATGGATTCCATTAAAACACAATAATGTGAACGTTTCCTTTTAAGGGGCTTTCCAACCTAAATCTAGCATTTAACATGCTAATATGTTATTTTTTGAGTTATGAGGTATTCTGTAGTGTAACATTGAATCAGTTTGACAGAATTCACCATTTTGTGTCCTTTATGTCTTTTTATCCATGAGTGTTCTCACACTACATTACCCAGCATGCATTACACAAATAATGCATTGTGGAAAGCCACTGTTTTAGAGGCTAATAAATACAGACCTGATATTTGGCTTCTGAGCAGTAACATTAGCTATTAGGCTACAAGCCCGACCTCAAATATCCACCCCAAAGCAGCTGTAGCTTTACAAAAAAAGTTCCTTCCACATTCAAGACACATCATCAGAAGGGGCTTTTCTAGTCATTAAAACGGGAAATTGAATCTTGTGATTCAAGCAGAAATGGTGCTATGAAAGGGTCTTTGCACGATGCAATGGAAGAACCACTTTTGGTTCCCTAAAGAACCTCTGAGTGGATGGTAAATGACGTGCAAGTGTGAAAAACCTTTCAAAGTTTAAAGGATCTCCACATAATGCAAAGGTTCTAGGAAGGACCCTTAAATTGCTGAAGAATTTTTACATTATGTTAGCGTGCTTTAGGCCTTTAAAAGGTTCTTCACCCTCATCTCTTTTTCAAACATGGTTCTTTAGGGAATAAGTGGTGTTGTGCAAAGAACCTTTTTCTGGCAGGCTTGTTTTGCAGCGGATGAAACAATGTTTTAAGTTTTGATTTTGGTTGTATTGCTCGGTGAAGAGTTCATTTATTAGCTGTAACTTGTTTAATCCTTGAGATTCAGTTTATTTCATGTGATTAAGATCTTTATTAAATGCTGAGGTAAATGACCAGAGAACCCAAAGTGGCTTGCATCAGTATTGAATTTAAAACATCTTGCCTCAGTGAACAGAAACATATCTGTCTCTGCAGACTGCGGCCTGCGGCAGTTCAGCACCAGAGTGGTGGGTGGAGTCGATGCGGTGGAAGGGGAGTGGCCATGGCAGGCCAGCCTGCAGGTCAGCGGGCGACACATTTGCGGGGGAGCGCTGATCTCCACCCAGTGGGTGGTGTCTGCAGCACACTGTTTCTATGACGACCGGTGAGTTTGATTAATGTGATTTAGTACAGGTGCTTGGGGCACTTTAGCTGAAACTTTTATTGCCGTTACTTTTTAATTAAAAACGAGGTTTTGTTAATATTAAACAGTCAGATTTACTACAAGAGGCGCTAATTACAGACAGTCTATGGACTCTCTGTGCCCCTGCGGTGGCTAATTTAGCAGCTTATCCGCTAAGAACTTTCATGCAAATGAACACAGACGCAACTTCATAATTGACATATAACCAGCACAATATAATCAGGTGTTTGACTCACATGCTTTTTGTATGAAAGCCTTTTTTTACACGGCTTCATCCCAAAACGCACTAAAAAGTGTATAAGAATAGTGCGCCACCATTAGAAGTGCATTCATTAGTTTAGTTTGTAAAGTGTAGAAGTGCATTTTTTATCTTCTGATTCTGGTTCAAAATGTAACCAATTAGGTTTAAATGATGCCTTACCTTCTTGAGAGTTCAATTTAAAAGGTCAAAATAATGATTAAGGAACGAGTTTTTTGAGATTTTTGAGAAAGTACATGAGAAAGTGTCCTGTTTTTGTAAAAAGAAGATATATTTTGACGCAACAAATAAGAAATTGATGGTTTGGTGGTTTGAGCTGAACTTCAGCTCTGTGCTGAGTGCATTTAGAATTCATGTGATATTGTAAAATCCCTCTTTAATTTCATGAAGTGCTTCCTGTTTGATTGGAAACTGTATGATTTTGAACTTTTGGTGAGCATGTCCTGCAGGGACGTGGGAGGTGGTGGGTCTGAGGGTGTAGCAGCACCCCCAGATTTCAGGGTTGGTTAACTGCAACTGCAAAAAAATAAATAAATAAATAAAAATAAATAAATAAATAATAATAATAATAATAATAAAAGATCTGAACTTGAAACAAATTTGAAAGTAGTAAAGACCTGGACTTTGTGAGACTATAGTGGGTGGACCTCCCTCTGACTCTACAGGGGTATGGTGAACATTGAGAGAAAAAACTAAGGTTAGATCGATGAAGAACTTTGTGCTCTAAACAATTTTGCACTTTAGTAATTTAATTGAATCATAAACACACTGGTTGTATGGGTTTGATGATGATGACGTCCACAAAGCAGGGTAAAGGAGTTTTACAGTTCACAAACAGTTTTGACTGTTTGTGAACATAAAGTGAGGAGACGGGAGTCGGAAACTCTGATGTTAACGTTTATCGATGAGCACGTTTACAAGCACTTAATATCTGATAAATGCAGAAAATCAGATTTTGTCAGTAATCCAATGAAAACGTTTACATGCACTCAGATAATATGGAAACTCCAGGTCTACATGAGTCAGGCAGTAATCGGACTCCGGCTTTGCAACCAGCCAATAAACTCACAGAATATAATGTGACGTAAACATAATGTAAAACTCAAACTTCATGCTGTGGCTTTTTTTTTTAAAACATCCAGCCACTTTATGTGAAAATATGAACATACATCATCTAGAAGATGAAGAATATTGATATCCTTCCTTTCGTCAAGCATGTAGTCGCTTTCAGTGCCGTGCCAAGAATGTTTTGCTGCTAGTTTATTTCCAATATGCGGCCTGTTTCGCACATGTGCAGACTAGGAAATCTGAAAGAAATCAGAGTAAGAGTTTACATGCACTAAGAAATCTGTTTACTGAGCTCTCTTTATCAGATTTCTGAATTGGATTCCTACACTTACTCCGATCTAAGAAATCAGAATGAACTGTTTACATGACCCTTTGAATAATCAGATAGCTGCAAAAATCAGATTATGATCGGATTACTAAGTGCATGTAAATCAATGATATCTGTTTGCTGTCTTACAATGTTATCAATAAGACTATGTTTGGACCAGTGGATAACTGCAGTGGATACTCGAAGGTTAACTTTACTTACCTAAAATCAAAAATCAGGTAGTGGGAAATGCTTTGCCGAGGCAACGGGACAAAACACAACATTGTTTATGTTCTTATGAGAAGTGTAAGGATATTTTCAGTTAATTATGAAACTGTGGCAGGACCAATCAGACTATGGCAGGCCACCACAGTTTTCTTCCTCTGTTTCTCATTTTTATTTCTCTATTTTTCTCTCCTCCTTCTCTCAGCCTGTACTCCCCCTCTGTCTGGACGGTGTACCTGGGGAAACTACGTCTTCGGGGCACCAGTCAGACAGAGGAGGCCCTGCGCGTGTCCCACATCCACCTGCACCAGTACTATGACGACGAGACCCATGACTATGACCTAGCTCTGCTCAGGCTGGACAGACCTGTGTCCTCAGGGACTCTCGCGCAGCCCGCCTGCCTGCCCTCACATACGCACCAGCTAGAGCCAGGACTGCTATGCTGGGTCACAGGCTGGGGGGCCCTCAGAGAAGGAGGTGAGGAGAGATGATCTAACCCTGTAAGACCTGAACATCATGATATGATGGTCCTGGATTGAAATCTATCCAGGATCAGCATGGCGATAACAGTCCTGAGTTAACAGAGGCCCACCAGAAATTACTTTTGCTAGCCTATTAGCAAGCTAGCTAATCGGCATATGCACGTTCTATAGCCAGCCAGCTAAGGTTAGCTCAGATAGGCACAGACAGCGAGACACCTCCTAATGCAAAATACTGAGAGTCCTCATTGAAATGAATCATGCAGATCAGATTTTGTTACAGTTTTATGAACTGACGAGTCTGTCTATCTCTTTGTCTTTCTCCCAGGCAGCACGAGTGACGTCCTGCAGAAGGTGGACGTACGGTTGGTCAGCGAGGATGCTTGTATCCGTTCCTATGGATACATTATCACTCCCAGAATGCTGTGTGCTGGCTATCGCAGTGGAGGGAAAGATGCCTGTCAGGTAAGATGCATGTTGAGGTTCATAATGATGATGAATGCAGTGATCATCGTTATGAATTTACTCCCTGTACCAAACAGAGATGGGCATGAGCAATCAACACACTTTAAAAAATGGTTCAGTATAGCACCAAAAGAGTTCTTCTCTTGTCACAAGCTTGACATAATAACAATAGCCGAACCCTTTTTGGTGCCATATAGAACCAGAAATGTGTTATATAGAACCATAAACAACACATTCTCCATCAATCTGGGCAACGATTTCACCAGAACTGTTTATGCATGCAAATGGATCTTTGAGTGTTCATGATTCTAAATAGAACCACTGTCTTTCCTAAAGAGTGTGGTACATAAACTACTTGAAATTAGACCTGTCATGATCATGAAATGAATTGAATTAAAATTATGATTAGCAATGTTTTGTTTGTTTTTGTTGCATGCAACTTATAAAGTATAAAGTCTAAAGTGGCCAAATCTGCTGATTAGCTTTTTGGTTTTCTATCAGTCAATTCTTAGTAGCCCCCAATTGAGGACAGACAACAGCTCAAGCTCAAATAAACAAACATATAAACAAACGTTACTCACTGCTGCCCTCTAAAGGCATTATCGCACCTGAAGTTGTAACTTTTGTTGATGTGTCAATAAATATGTTTCTGCTTTTTTTTATTTATATATTTTTACCTACAACCCAACAGAAGAAAGTGTATTCGGCTTCCATTCTGTTTTTTGTGACATAAACATATTATTGTTAATGACTGTAGAAAATAATAAATCATTATGATCAGCTTAAATCGGGTGATTACGTAATAATTGTGATAGGCTTACGTACAATTTTCAAATAGATTTTGCACTGGGAAAACAAAATATGTATCTCTCCATGGCATGCAAGTGTCACTAGGCCTCTGATGTTTCTTCACTTACTGTGACCCAGAACCTTTGAGATGAAGGGGTCGTTTGGTCATTTGAGAACAAAAAACAGACTGAAAACATGAAATAGTTTACAGGGGCTCTGTGACCTTCAGGAAACACTGTCATAGCTTCATATAAAACTCAATTTCCCTCCTTCTTTCTCTCTTTTTCTCTATCTTTATATTTCTCTTTCCCCCTCTTCCTTCTCTCTCTTCCATTCTCTCTTACCCTCCCTCACTCGCTCTCCTTCTCCCTCTGTCTCTCTCTCTCTCTCTTTCTATTCAGGGAGACTCTGGAGGCCCTTTGGTGTGTCAGGAGCCGTCTGGACGCTGGTTTCTGGCCGGTGTGGTCAGCTGGGGTCGCGGCTGTGGCCGGCCGGATTATTACGGAGTTTACACTCGCATCACCAGACTCAGTGGCTGGATAAAACAGCTCATCTCCACCTGAAGAACAGGCTTGACTGACACAACAGGAGTGATTACAAACAAAGAGATACCACTGCACTCATTGATGAAAGTTTCCAATGGACTTCTATGGCTGATGAACTTTTGAGAAGCGATTGCAGCCTATTTTTAGCATAAGCTCACATCCTAACTGTTTCATTAAGGAGAACCAGTTTTTCAGAATTTCCACTTAATTCGATGGCTGAGATGTAAATAGTCATTCAGAGTGGTTTGATGTGAAATGGTTCACTGTAGATAAACTTACCGATTTCTTTATAATGGTGGTGATAGGGACCAGGGCCTTGTAAGGGCCTGAAAACACTTCAGACGCCTGGTTCCTATCAGCACCATTATGAACAATTCTGACTCACTAAATTTCTCTGTAATGAAGCAATTCATATCACACAACACTGAGCGATTTGCTTATATCTTAACTATTTAATTATGCAGAAATTTAAAAAGAATGGTTGAAATTCCCCTTTAATACTAGATTTGGCATAAGAAGGTGTAAATATCCAAAAGTGGGGAAGATAAAAATCAGTATTAGACAGACTATCAGTGTTAATATTATGTTTTCATACTGACACCATTCTCTTCCAGCGGCTAACCTTCTCAAATCAAACAGCCGTTTGACATGTGGTCAGACTCCTTACACTGGACTGTAGATATGCTCTAATATTCTACTGTAGAGACAGATACATGGCAAATGTTGTCTTTTATAATATTGTAGTGTTTAAAGAAACTACAATCCATGTAAAATGGTTTTATATTGTTAAAAAATAAATATGTTTTAAAATTGTTCAGGCTGCCTATTTCTAGGAATATTCTTCTTAATTGGAAAGAAAGAAAGAAACAAGAGAACTCAGTCACAGCGTTGACTTGAGAGGAAATGATAGAATTTCCTCTTTGTTCATTTTTTGTTGAAGCTTTCTAGGTGCAGGTTTAAAAGAGGTAAAGGAGTGTATGTGTGTGTTTAACTGCTGAGAGGGGATCAATGGAACACCAGCCTGACTGTCACCAGTGGACAAACAGACTGAGGCAGTCTGTTCAACTTGCAAAAAAAAAGAAAGGAAAAAAAGAAAACTCAGTAGCGTCCAGCCCCACAGAAGAATCCCCAGCTTGGGCGAATGTTGACCAACTAATTAGCAAGCTGACCGTTGGTGAGGTAGCTCACATTAACATTACATACGTAAAAAAGCCATGTTGGCTGGTGTGCATTGGTAGAAATGCAGGAAATGAATAAAACCTCTTGTTTTGCCTGTCATTTTCAATACAGCTTTAAATAACACAGGGCTGTCCAAAGTCTGGCCCCAGAGCCAAATGTGGCCCAGGGACCGTTTTTAATTAGCCTGTGGCTTTTGTGTTAGAGTGTGTTATAAGTGGCCCGCCAGACAATATACTGCAGTTTTTCCTTGTACCTGATGGTGACAGCAGTATCATTAAATTGCATTCCATGCAATATTATAAATACAGCAGATTATACAGCTGTAAACAATCTGGCACAGTGTCAGCAACAACATTATCAACAAAATCATGTTATATCAAGTCTAGTCATTATTTTTTCCCTTTCAGTAGTTTGTAATATTTATCGTTTATATTCTAAAATAAAAGTCTTAGTGCATGTAAAATCTGTTTGAGGAGAATAAAAAATAGTTAGATGTTATGCAGGACAGTAACGTAGGTAGTCAAAGGGTGGAACAGCAGTGGAATTCAGTCAACAAACCAGCAGACCGATATATGCTCGCTATCTGAGATCCGTCTTGGAATTTTGACATAATGAAAAAAATAGCAGATTATTTAAAATGGAGTTACGAGGTTTTCCCCCCCGACAGTGACAATATGTTGTGTTTTAGATGCTGGCATGGTGATCAGCAGCAGTGGATGATGTCATGCCAGCAAAACCATCATATGTTGTGTTCTGGATGCTGGTATGTTGGTCAATCAGCAGGACCATGCTGGGTGACCAGCTAAACCAGCAGCAGAGCAGCATGAGATCAGGCTGGAGTTTGGTCTGCAGGGCTGCAGATTTTACACAGAAAACTAGTCACTGCTTACTTCCACTACGATGCAACAGATGAAAGGGCTCTTACTGTCTTTTCAGACATCCTAGGAACTGTGACTAATCAGAAGAAGGCTAACGTGAAAAAAAAAAAAGGGCGGGTAAAACTGAACCTGAGAGTAAATGTGGGACATTTACATCAAAACTTTGATCATCTGTAATTGGACCCTGATTTAATGGACAATGAGGATAAATACAAGGTGGCCAGAGCACTTATAAAGCACTTGTAAAGCACTTGTAAATGCAGTAATGAAACTATGAAATAAAAAACCTCTTAAAAGAAGATAAATATGAATTGACTGCTGTGTGTCTCCTCCTGGACATTGTTATCACTGAGGTTTGCATTACAATCTTAATAAACAGATGATGAGTAATATTAGCATCAGTACTGTGGCTTGATGAGTAATTTGCGTTAGAAATATGATGTTGTGTCTCTTTGCTAGTTGTGCTGTTCAAGGCAGTTGCCAAGGTTGCTGATGTGATTTTTAAATATTTGGGTTGACTATGAAGAATTAAACCTGGTGGACTTTTCTCCTCCAAAATGAAGCATAATACATGCCAGTTTCTTTAGTCTATCCTTTTTGTGTGATGTGTGATGAAGCGTCAAGCTTCCCTCGCCCAACACTACCTATAAGGATCTGCTTCTTCTCTGCTTCTCTGCAGACACGCAGGGTCATACAAAATGTATAAAAAGGCCAAGGTAAAACAGCCTTTTGTCCACGTTGGAGGGAACTACCAGACACGACAACAGCTCTCTAACTGGTCGCACTGAGAAGTTAAGGCTTCATATTAGGGCTTAGTGTGGGCTTCCGGCAGTGGGGCCCCAGTCAATTGTGAAACCGGTTGCACATGGAGGCCCCGTGTAAAGGCCCCATGCCCACACAAAGCCTTAAATGAGGTCTTAAAGTGGGCTGCCCATAGGGCAGTGGGCCCAGTGGATCTAGTGGGGCCCCAGTCTGTTGTGAAACGTGGGGCATGTGCGGAGCCCCACATTAGGGTCCCATGCTGGTGGCCCACACTAAGCCCTAATATCAAGGCTTAGAGTGGGCTGAGACCTTGGGGCACTGACACTGGGGCCTGCATGTTCCCCTGGTTTAACGATTGACTGGGGTCCCACCAGACCCACTGGGCTCAATTTTTAGCCCACAGTGATCCCACACTGGACCCACATGGGTGTGTTTGCATGGTTGACCAAAGGAAGATTTATGAGGGAGGCTGAAAACGGGTGACCCTCCATTGCTGCTCTGTTAAACCAGTGATTACGTGACCACATTCACGGAAATATTTTGTCATGGCGGCTCTCACTTCACTAATCCTCTCTGGTTAAACGATGCAGAGAGAAGTTTAATAATGCTACTATTTACAGCTAGACATGACAACATAGAGACTGTAAGACTTTGTTTGATTTAGTGACTGTGAGAAAACAGAGGGATGTAGTGACGTTTTAATGAAAGGTGGGATTTCCTCCTCCAATTAGATGCCATGTTGAGTGTTACTTGCTTTTTCATTTATTTTGTGACATAATGTCTCTGGTGTGGCAGAAGTGTGATGTATGCAGGATGTAGCTGTTTATAATTAGAACTGCTCAGCTTCCAATGCACAAAAGACACCCACTAGTGCTTAATAAATAGTGGGGCAGACAGACAGATTCTCCTCACACACCACTTGTTAATTAGCTATAACTAGCTAGTATGCTTCAAAAACAGAAGAATACATTTATTCAGTGGCCAAAAGAAGGGCCTCAAATCTCCCAGGTGTCCAAGCATTTGTGTGGTTGGAATCATCACCACTGAGGTAAAGGAGTGTATGTGTGTGTTCAACTGCTGAGAGCGGATCAATGGAACACCAGCCTGACTGTCACCAGTGGACAAACAGACTGAGGCAGTCTGTTCAACTTGCATAAAAAAAGAAAGAAAGAAAAAAAAAATCAAAATCAGTAGCGTCCAGCCCCACAGAAGAATCCCCAGCTTGGGCGAATGTTGGCCAACTAATTAGCAAGCTGACCATTGGTAAGGTTGCTCACATTAACATTACATACGTAAAAAAGCCTGTTGGCTGGTGTGCATTGGTAGAAATGCAGGAAATGAATAAAACCTCTTGTTTTGCCTGTCATTTTCAATACAGCTTTAAATAACACAGGGCTGTCCAAAGTCTGGCCCCAGAGCCAAATGTGGCCCAGGGACCGTTTTTAATTAACCTGTGGCTTCTGTGTTAGAGTGTGTTATAAGTGGCCCGCCAGACAATATACTGCAGTTTTTCCTTGTACCTGATGGTGGCAGCAGTATCATTAAGTTACAGTGTAATGTAGCACACTGTGGTCAGCTAAGTCTTCACCCATTTAGTACCAGCAAACAAACGCTTCTCAGACTCACAGCTAAAAGATATGAGGTGAAAAAGGATATGAGATACGAGGTGAATAAAGATATGAGCTGAAGAAAGATATGAGATATGAGCTGAAGAAAGATATGAGATATGAGCTGAAGAAAGATATGAGATATGAGGAGAAGAAAGACCAGGCACAGCTGGTCACCAGCAAATATCATTATATATCATTGTTTTCAGAACAAAACTTTATATCTCCAAAAAGGGAAACAAAAGGCAAAACATTCTTAAACTTAATGGAAGTTAATAGAGAAATTATTCATTCCAGGTCATTTTGGACCATACAGCAAGAGGATAGCAGGCCAATGGCAAATCTGGCGGCCCACTGGCTTTTTGCTAAACAATTTCCCTGCGGCCTACTGGTGGTTAAGCAGAGTATTAAACAAAATGCCCCTTTTAGTTGTTCATTTTCCTCTCACAGTCTAATTTACTTACTTTTCATTTATTTCTTTCTTTGGTTGTTCTTTGTAAATAATTTTCCATGCAATATTATAAATACAGCAGATTATACAGCTGTAAACAATCTGGCACAGTGTCAGCAACAACATTATCAACAAAATCATGTTATATCAAGTCTAGTCATTATTTTTTCCCTTTCAGTAATTTGTAATATTTATCGTTTATATTCTAAAATAAAAGTCTTAGTGCATGTAAAATCTGTTTGAGGAGAATAAAAAATAGTTAGATGTTATGCAGGACAGTAACGTAGGTGGTCCAAGGGTGGAACAGCAGTGGAATTCAGTCAACAAACCAGCAGACCGATATATGCTTGCTATCTGAGATCCGTCTTGGAATTTTGACATAATGAAAAAATAGCAGATTATTTAAAATGGAGTTACAAGGTTTTCCCCCCAGCAGTGACGATATGTTGTGTTTTGGATGCTGGCATGGTGATCAGCAGCAATGGATGATGTCATGCCAGCAAAACCATCATATGTTGTGTTCTGGATGCTGGTATGTTGGTCAATCAGCAGGACCATGCTGGGTGACCAGCTAAACCAGCAGCAGAGCAGCATGAGGCTGGAGTTTGCTCTGCAGGGCTGCAGATTTTACACAGAAAACTAGTCTGCTTACTTTCACTATGATACAACTGATGAAAGGGCTCTTACTGTCTTTCCAGACATCCTAGGAACTGTGACTAATCAGAAGAAGGCTAACGTGCTTCAAACCACCAGAGACGGATTATGAAAAGTAGAAGTATCAAGAGGAAGTGGTTTTTGTTTTGCTGGATTTGAGTTGCAGGTTGGGAGGGGTGGTGGGGGAGTGCAGGGGGTGGGGTGTTGCTGTTGTTCGAGTTTGGCTCACTACTGCCATCCAGTGGCAAAATTGGCAACTTTCGGAGGATCCCTAATATACATGCTGAGACTTGGTTATATTATTGTAAAAGGTGACATTAATAAAGAGGGCTTTGAAAGTGTAATTAAGTAATTAAATATTAAAAAAGTTCATTTAATGAATCACATTTTTCATTCAGTTTATTGTAAAAAAGACGAAAAGTTGTGAAAATATCATGAAAAAGTGCATTGTATTCCCATAAAACAAGACTATACATAAAAATTAACTTAATTTAAATCTTAATGAAATGTCTCCTATTTGAACACACAAATGTGGTGTGGATTGAAAGTTTAGAATCTGCACTTTCCACAGAATTTATAATAACATAGCAATAAATGTGACTTGTAATGGTTAAAAAAGGCTTGTCAGGTAAGGCAGCGAGCAACTCAACCAAAAATGTTGGTGTTTGACATTTGTGTGTGTGTGTTGCTAAAGGCAATAAGCTATAGCTAGCTAGTATGCTTCAAAAACAGAAGAATACATTTATTCAGTGGCCAAAAGAAGGGCCTCAAATCTCCCAGGTGTCCAAGCATTTGTGTGGTTGGAATCATCACCACTGAGGATCTTATCTCATCTGTATATACACAGCATTAAGGCCTAGTCACCCTAGTGTTTTGTAGCAAAACTTTGCCTGCAAAAGTGCTTTTATTTTGGAGAAACTGGCCACAAAATGAATTTTGCATGTGAAACTTCACATCGACTTCAACTTTCGTGAACTTTAATGTACAGATTCACATCACTGACCAATAGCACAGCTGCTTTGATTTCATTGACTTCTGAAGGGGCAGAGCTTCATATAGCAGCACTGAAGATCCAGAATGGAATATTTTAACAGTTCACTGCACGACACTCAATATTTCTTCCTCACTTTCAATAAATAAACACATAAAAGAGAGTCAGTTAGGAGGCTAATGTTGAGTCATCTTTAATGTTTTACTGTTTTTGGTTAGCAAGTTTGCTAGCGAGTAGCTAGCTTGCCAACTGCACCAAAATTGATTTATTTCTTTATCACCAATTTGCAACACAAACTGCAGATGTCTTATGTGACATTCAAAGAGCTCCTCATAATCCTGCACTATATCCATGCCTAACTAACAGGACAGGAGGGGGAATTTATAGAGTGCTATTCTCTCACTCTGTCTCTCTCTGGGACGCTCCATATACTGCTTCACGGTCTGATTTTCCACCAGTGTTTTGCCTGTAAAACAGTCCAGATGGGTTTGATATAAACCGTAACACTTTATAGAACGGCCTGAAGCTGGCTGATCTCTATCTGTTCTCTGACTCTCCTCTCTGCAAGTTTGGGTTGGATCAGAGCAGAGAGCAGAGTTAGAGGTCAAGCCTTAAAGTGATTCAACAGCTAAACACTAGATGGATTGTGATTCAGAATGGCAAAGAAGCCTGAGAAATATAAACTGCGAGGCTGAAGAATTTGCACCCTTACGTGAACCGATTTGACCCCTTTTAAAAGTAAAGAAAGCCCTTTATTCCCCCTACAACTGCACTCAGAAGACACACACACTGGATTCAGTTTGCGTCTTCAAATGTATCTTTATCTTTACGCAA